ATCTTGTGGCATGTCGGCGAGATCTTGTGGCATGTCGGAGCCCTGTTTCACCATCTTGGGGGCCTCTTGACCCTTCTTGGGCTCTCTGGAGGGTCTCGAGGGCGGCGCCCAGCAGGAAAACCCTCTCTGACCTGCCCATGCCGGTGCCTTCCCGGGGTACTTGTCATCCGGGGACCTCCAGGGGCCGCCCCTCGCGCGCGAAGTAGATGAACGGGTGAGCAGTCACTGGAGATTTTAGCACGCCTCTGGCCCGTTGGGCCGGCGAATTGTTTGCCAGCGGACCTCTTTGCTGGCGTGTGCTCGGGGATTTTCATTGGAGGCTGCTCTCGCTGGCGATCCCCCCCTGCCTCGTCGAAGAACTAGAAGCGAGCTGGGCGTTCTGACTGAGATTGCGATTTCTTTGTAATTGGTATCCTATATACCATGTGCCGTTCGGCGCTCCACAAGATGACAGGGGGCGGTTTCGAGGAATTCGAGGGATTGTGCATTGCTGGACTTGTGCGTGAATTATCCCGGCAAAGCAACCTAACAGCGATGTGTGGGAGCATATCTGGAAGCATTCCCCTTAAGATTCAGATGATAATCAAGTTGTAGAATTCTCCTGTTCTCGCAGTCGTAGTCGCATTCGCGATGACAGTCGGAGTGGCAACGGCAATCGCAGTCACAGCCTCAGCCTCAGCCTGCCTCAGCCTCAGCCTCAGCCTGCCTCAGCCTCACCCTGCCTCAGCCTCAGCCTCAGCCTGCTTCAGCCTCAGCCTCATCTGCCTTCAGCCTCGGGCCTCAGCCTCAGCCTCAGCCTCACCCTGCATCAGCCTCAGCCTCAGCCTCAGCCTGCCTCAGCATCAGCCTGCCTCAGCCTCAGCCTCAGCCTGCCTCAGCCTCAGCCTCAGCCTGCTTCAGCCTCAGCCTCAGTCTGCCTTCAGCCTCGGCCTCAGCCTCAGCCTGCCTCAGCCTCAGCCTGCATCAGCCTCAGCTCAGCCTCAGCCTCAGCACTCAGCCTCAGCCTCAGCCTCAGCCTCAGCCTGCTTCAGCCTCAGCCTCAGCCTGCCTCAGCCTCAGCAAGCCTCAGCCTCAGCCTCAGCCTCAGCCTGCCTCAGCCTCAGCCTCAGCCTCAGCCTGCCTCAGCATCAGCCTGCCTCAGCCTCAGCCTCAGCCTGCCTCAGCCTCAGCCTCAGCCTGCTTCAGCCTCAGCCTCAGTCTGCCTTCAGCCTCGGCCTCAGCCTCAGCCTGCCTCAGCCTCAGCCTGCTCAGCCTCAGCCTCAGCCTCAGCCTGCCTCAGCATCAGCCTCAGCCTCAGCCTCAGCCTCAGCCTCAGCCTCAGCCTGCAGCCTCAGCCTCAGCCTCAGCCTCAGCCTGCTTCAGCCTCAGCTCAGTCTGCCTTCAGCCTCGGCCTCAGCCTCAGCCTGCCTCAGCCTCAGCCTGCTCAGCCTCAGCCTCAGCCTCAGCCTGCCTCCATCAG